CTAACAATTAATTATGAATGCAAGTCATATTAAAAAATCATGTTATTTTAAAACCTATCATGGTTGATTGATTCACGTACGTCGTACATAATTATATTTTGAAAGCATTCTACTTCTGATTTTCTGGATTCGATGGAAATGATTCCTTAAATAAAATATGTATGTATTATTATATTATCTATTATTTACTTATCGTTAGGATTCCTATGCTTACTACAATGTGGTTTCAGGCTTGTTTCCGTGAAATATGCTAAAAGTTTTATTTTTTATAATGTTTTAGTTTTGATGTTTGAACTAATTTCTCGGCGCGGTTTACTGGCTATTATTTGTCAGAACACGTCAAGTACAACTCTATAGGTATCTGAGAAAATACTGAAATTGTACTGATTCTGTTTTTAAGATTGCCTCAATAGTTCCCAAACTTTTATTAGATGTTTAATAAGGTTATGTTTATTTATTTTGTAAATATTCTACAAGAATTGTTGCGGTTACGGATGGTTCGACGGTTCTACGAAATAAGCAGGTTGCTTTATCAGTATGCGCGCCTTCAGCCCAGCGGTGGAATGGCTAATTTTCTTAGGTGTGGCTCATCTGGTTCATTGTAGGTTACCGTGTTTTGTTAGGAATGCCGTTAAGTGTTACGAATGTATACAGAAATTTTCCCTTATTAATCCATTAGCTACGTATTATTTTCCCTTTCCTCAGTAAGATAATTCAGTTTTGGAGGTCAAATGCCAAAGCGAAGTAAAATGATTTCTTACATTTACATGGACAAATGATTTGATAAAACTGCTTAGCAGATTTTAGAACGCGATTTTGGCTATTTGGCGATTATGAGTACCTTCCATTCAAATACTGTAGTATTTTGTTGATTCATTAATTTTCCCTTGATAATCATTGCTGCAAAGTACTTGGTAATTTGAAAGTAAAACAAATTACTTGCGACCTTTAAAAAAAGTTAGATTATTATGGCATTCGTGACGTCGCCCAAAACCGCATTGCCTCTTACCTATTAATAATAGAATTCAAAAAGTATCTATAAATGATGTAAATTCTGCAGGGTCCCATGAAAATTGGTATACCACAAAGATCAATCTTGGTCCCATTATTATTCTTAGTGTATATAAATGATCTCCCCTTTTATGCCAGTGGGTTATATGTTGTTGTACTGTTGGCTGACGACACATCGCTCATTTTTAAGGTTGCGAAACGTATCGGATTATGGCGAAGTGAATGGTGCACTTTTGCGTATCCTCCTCCTGGTTTACCATTAATAATATGGTATTAAATGCCAAAAAAGCTAAATGCCTTCTTTTACCCTTCCCAGCGTAATAAGGCAAAATTTTAGCTTAACATTAAACAACGTAACCCTGAATGCTGTTGAGTCCGCTGTATTCTTGGGAATTACATTAGATTCAAAGCTCTAATGGTGGAATAGGTTTAGCTCCGTTGGTTAGACATCGACACTGCCAGACTTGTTGACTTCAGTTATTTTAACAGCATCTTGTCGTACGGCGTTTTGTTGTTCGGTAGTGCATCAGATATAAATTCTATACTTATTCTTAAAAAAAGAGCTGTTCGAGCAATCTATAACAATGAAGCCCGGAATACACTCAGAGATATTTTTAAAGAGATTAATATACTCACTGTTGCCTCTCAATATTATGTATTTTATTATATTGTATGTTAAACATAATATTAATTATCAAAAGAAACAGTAATAGAAATTTACGGCATTGGTTCGTCTACAAAAAGTAAACAAGTCGTTCATGGGGAAAAGTGTCCGCACGTATAATAAAATCCCACAGTCGATATTAATCATTATTCATATCACATCGCTGGGCACGTGATAAGTCAGCACTTAAATCAACAATTTCGTTGGTAGCGGCACCAGGGTTCGAACTCTAGTTCTCGAGTATATTGAATTAAAAGCAAACGCTCGGACAATGAGCTATCACGGCTCTGTTAGTTTTTAGGGTTCCGTACTTAAAAGTTAAAGCGGGACCGTCTATTACTAAGACGCTGTCGGTCTGTCTGTATGTCCGTCTGTCACCAGGCTGTATCTCATGAATCGTTAAGTCCGCCACTTGATGAATTTAAACGAAAAAATTAAAAGTAAATTTATGGCTAAAGCATATTATACTATTGCGGAATATCTTGACGATGCCAATGTGTGGAGTTAATACTGTACCATTATATTGTAAACTGACCTGTTGAAACCTGCAAAGATCAACTGTGGAGTTTTCTTGCCGGTTTTTTATCAACAGATACTGCTTTCCGAACCGGTGGTAACTTACGAACGTGTTAATTTCTTTATAAAATTTCGACGTTTCATAAGAACGTGCAAGCGTCTATATGAATAAAGATATTTTATTATTATTATATTAAGTATGCCTTTTGATAAACTGCATTATGATAGCTTTGTGTAAGGAAAAATACTCTTTCATTTATATCTTGCTTTATAGCTTGTCCATAAATTGTAATAAATCATCAAAAGTCCCCGAGGGAAATCTTATTTGTGGGGATTTTGCAATGAATTAGTTGTAGGTTGTATGAATGGTCTCTCATTGCAACTCAGTTTAAGGTATAAAGGGCGGCAACGCTTTTGTGACTCCTCCGCTGTTGAAAGTATCTATAGGCGGCGGCGATTGCTTACCATCAGGTGAGCCGCTTGCTCGTTTGCTTCCCGATTCCATTAAAAATAAAAAAAGAACCTGCATTTGCCCATGTGAATATTAAATAAATAAATAAAATAAAATGTGAATATTCCATACCCTAAACCACACTGGGAGTGGTGCGACACTTGTTACATTAACCCTGGATACTTAAATATTATGAAAGAAATATTTCGAGCAATTTTCACGTGCACCGATCGACACGGTAAGTTACATCGTTTTGTGTTTATCTAGGCGCTTACTTTTTAATTGAATTCACTTAGGCCGTCTGGATTCAAATCATGACGACGGCTCGGGTTAAATAGTCGATTGCTATTTTAAGTTCCTATTACAATTGTGCTCGGCGGTCAAGTAATATGCTGGGCCTTTGTACAAATACTTTCCTGTTATTACATTTCCTTTTATGTACACTGTGTACATAAATTATTAAATAAATAAATCCTGAGGAAACTTGCAGATGTGCACAAGAAATAATAATTAAAAATAATATGAAGGTGTCAAGTCTACCAATCCGCATTGGGGACAGGTAGGACTATGACCCAATAATATCTGCGCACAAAAGGACTACCCAGAAAAGGGGGATGTATAAGATTTTTTTTTATTTAATAAAACTATTACTTTTATCTATTCTATCTACCTGCTACCTTTAGTCAGGAATTAACAAATAATAATTATATGTGTTATCGAATAACATAACTTTGTTTAAATATTATTTAAAAAAGCGATATTCAAATGAGACGAAATATAAATAAGCAAATATTACTAATAAATCATAGTAAAAAATTATTCAGCGTATTTAAATATATTATGTTTATTCATGATTTATGCATATCCAAATTTAACTGATGATTTTGATGGAAACTAATGTTCGAATAGCGATTAATATACATATAGATAATTTGTTAATTCCTAAGAGCTTTTACTATGACTCTCTAAGGTCGCTTTCTCGTACACATGCGGCTGTTACGGTTGACCTTCGACCTAATATGGCGCTTTTCGAATTTCTCTCATTTCGATTGTTAAATTATGGTAGTGATGTACAGCAACGCATTAGCCATTAGCCATTCGCGATCGATTACGCAAGAAGTAAAAAGAAATTTCGCCTCAAGACGAACTTCAGCACTTGTTAAGATTATACTAGCGGTTGAGGATCGAGCCAGGGCATATGTGACTACGGTTAGTAATCTAAAAATGTTGGAAGCAAAGTTTTAGATTTTAACCTCACATCGCAATTTCGTATACAAAACAGTTACTCAAATAACAGTTTTTATGAGGTAGAAGAAGACCGATGTGAAGTAGAAGTGTGCACTTCTTCTGCGTTTCGTCTGGTGAGTGAGGTAGCAGGGGCCCACTTAATTAAGAGGTGGCAACGCATCTGCAACCGTATGGGTATTGCAAATGTCCATGGGTAGGCGGTCATCAATTATAACATTAGGTGAACCGCCAGCTCGTTTGCCACTTTCTCACATAAAAAAAATAAAAAGACCAGGGGCGCCAAAGGCAACTTTTTCAATTGCAAAAGCGAGTCATAAATTTTTGTCAACATTAAAACATTTTATACACATGTGTGACAGAAACGAGGTGAAAGAAAATACTTCGGTATACAAAAATAGACATTTCGTGTGAGTAAATAGTGGGAATGAGTGAAAATAAAAAATAAAACATGTTTATTATTCAAACGTGTATTTCAATGTAAATGACTTTATTTATTACTAAGTTAAGTGATTTATGTTACTAATGACATTATGCTTTGTTATTTCTTAAGATTTATTTTATAATAGAGTCAAAAATAAGAACAAAAGTGAAAGTTAACAGCAGGAAGGGCATCACCATAGGCATAAATATTTAATAAATATAATAACATAATTCAATATTGCATACATAAATAATATTCATAGACAAAGATGCAAAAACAATATGTTACGTAAATACTTTCATATGAAGCATATTTACAATAGCTTTATGTAATATTTCTAAAAAGCAAAAGATAAGAAAGACTACAAAATCTATATATTACAATATTAAATAGTAAAATTATATAGTATATAATAAACAGTAACAAATAATGACAATTATAATTACGGCCCAAGAAACTTAAGCGAAACGATAATTTGTACTCCTAAAACAATTAAACAGGTACAACGTAGTTGATATTGGTGAAAAGACAAAAAGCTCGGCGATGATTACGAAAGGTCACGACTTAATCTACAAAGCTCCAATAAATAACTTAATAAAGCTCAATAAATTATTAAATAAGTAACAAATAAATTAAAACTCTTCAAAGTGAGGTCCGCTAGAGACTAATTACGGCTAATGATTTGGTTAGTTGGAGTAGGCGCTGTAGGCGAGGGCCTGGCCGTCTTGGGAGGACCTGCCCCAGCCCCCGTGGCCGCCGTGGCTTAAGTGCTCGTCGTGGTGTGGGTGCGCCACCACCTCGTAGCTCTCGTGGTGTTCGTTCTTGGACAAAAGCTTTTTCAGAAGCAGCAGTGCGGATGCTAAGAGAGCTGCCTTTGCGAGCATCAGACCCTTGACCGCTGCGAAGGCGATTATCCCCAGGAACAGTGGAATGAGCGACTGGATCTTCAACTGCAGCAGAGCGAAGATTGGCAGCAGCTGCTTAAGCTTCTTCTTCTTGCCACGACCTATGGAAATAAGAAACATAACATTTTTGATCATATGTAGTAAATAGCCCAATTTTCAAAAAGGTTGTTAACGCATCTGCAAACCCTCGGGTGTAGCAGATGTCCATGGGCGGCAGTATTCACTTAACATCAGGTGAACTGTCTGCCCGCTTGGCAACTTTTCACATAAAAGAAAAAAAAGAAAAGATGTAATTATAACTTTGTAATTAGAAATGTTCGCATGGTACTTTCAGTCATTTGTATATTTTTTTCTTAAATCAATACAGTTCGAGTTAACTATAACTTGACATGTCCAAAAAATTCTTAATTTTATGTGGAAATATTTTAAGATTGTGAATTCTTCACTGTACAGGAATAATTTTGCTGTTAGATTTTTATAACTGCCCGAACTATGTCAAATAGAGTTATATAATTTTATATTTTAATTTAGGAAAGTCATAGTGTTACGAGTTTATTAAAGATGCATCTGTGTTTGTCTATTCCAGTCCTATTGAAATGCAAATTAGACTAATAAACCGATGCAGAAGAAAGTGGTATATGCATATACATGTCACGAACTCTAGAAGAGTCGCGTACTTAAACATGAATAAGCGGCTGCACTTCGCGGAGTCTTAATTTCTAATTCTGTCAGCATATCAACACACAAGTTGTGCCCTCAGGGGTCCTATTCGAATTCAACATGGCACCGAACGAACGTTCGGACGCTGAAACTTAAACAGGTGTGCTACAATTGAAATGCGCGCTGTTACGTCCAGTTTGCATAACAGCCTCGTTTATCTAGAAAGCGCATCGATTACCGGACGCCGCGATTCGAAAGCTCCGTGCCCACTTCCATATTTCGTACGCGAGATTTCGCCCGGAGCGTGACTTTTACTTGGCGCGAACGGCGCGGCGCGGAAATCTCGAACTAGTTGCGAATAGTCCCACATTCCGGGGCTGGTGCCGGCGGCAAAAACTAGACGCGGGCGCGACCGCTTTCGACGGTAATGAAGCTGGTTAATGGGTTAGAGAAACCCCCGGTCAGGCTCGTTTTTAGTGTCGTCTTCACGTTGCCCCATTGATTGCCAATGCCACCAGATGGCTGGACGGAACGCACTCGGTACAACTCCTGTTCGTTCGTTTCGTATCGTGTTCGATTTTCGCGAACACTTATCTCGACTAGATGGCGTTGCAATCGTGGGTGATATATTTTTCTATGTATGGATGTTCATTTAATACCGTGATGGGTAACTTTCTATTTCGAAGCTCTCACAAAGCGGCCGGCTCGGTTGCGTCTCGCATTTTTATGAATGACTTTCGTTGTGGTCGAATGGAAATCATATGCGCGCTTTTACATAATACACACCGTAGTTACGTTTACAACTCCTCACAAAGCGTGCGTAAAGAGTCGAAACATATTGGACACTGCTGAAGGTTCCCATTGCACGATTCTGGGACCAATTGGACCATAGAAATTAATATGAATCTGGGTTCTAACGTGACGTTTTTAATTGCCATTAGAACATTTAAATAGTTCATATTCGTAGATAGAGCTCTTATCAATAAAAAGAAAAGGGTGCCTTTTGTAAATAAAGAAAATAAATAAACTTTACAAATCGTTAACATGTGAGGGTTATAGAATATATAAGACGCTATTTCTTAAATTGTTTACTATTATTTCATACAAATCAAATTAAATATCAATATGATGTAACATTATGAATTTAATCGTCGCTTGTTAAATTTCTGCACGCCCATTACCAAAAAACAATCTTCGAACGAAGTTATAACGCCTTCAGTTATGAAGTCGTAAATGTAGTAAGTAAATCTCGAAACATAAAATACCCGCGATGGTGCAAATTTAATAACCGTTTTGAGCATATATGACAAACACAGTTCCAGATGATTTAAAATAAACAATATTCGACACGCTGCGCTGTAAATATCGTATACCTACTAATTTAAAAATATTTATTTTACCTTAATATTGGGGATGTAAGGTTCGGCTCGTCAATTCTCCACAAGTTATTATGACTACTATAGAGACTTCGAGTTTGATATTCATTGACGTAAAAGCCTAAAACAATAACAATACGAGGCTAGCAAGGTAACCGTGAATCCGTTCACCCGATAACCAAATGGCTCGTTTGACATTTGTCACGGTAACTAATGATATGAATAAAACAGAAAAAAAAGTTTCAATAGAATCGCGTAAAACGAAATCGCCTCGTTTCGTAAATGTCGCCGAGTGATAACAGATTTAACGTCCCCCATTTGTTCTTTCTAGCAGCTTCTCTCGTTAATTTTCTCTTGATTTTATTTTACCAAACCTTAGCAGGTGAATATAATATATTGTGTTGCGTTATCCGAATAGAGATCGTGTCTACACGCTCTCATAGTTTCGTAATAAAATTAATTTGTTATGTTAAAAAGAAAGTAGAGAACGGTGCTTCGATGTGCAGCCAGTAAGATAATAATTAATGTTCAATTAATATAATTGAATATTGTATAATAATATAGAGCATAAGTTTTATGTTTATCGTTTCTTTTGGATTTCCTTAGTTTATTTGTCTCATTCTGTTACGGTAACAGTTTTATATTTTCAGCTTAAATTTTAACGCTTATTTAGCTCGATAACTTAAATTATATCTGCTAGAAGTCTTAATGTATTATCTTTTAATTTGCAAAGTGCACAATAAATACCAAAAAAAAAATACTATATACACACCGAAAACTAAGAAATATCAGTTTGATACTAAAGTGAAAAGTAAAATAACAGCCTATATATGACATTGGGCAAAGATCTCCTTAGTACAGAGGATAGTAGGGCGTGAGAACGGTGGTAGGACCATGCAGCAGCCTCGGCTGTTGCACGAATGAGCAGGCACGTCCGGGTAAGTATCACGACCTCACAGAAGACCAGCGTAAAGTGGAAGTATGACAAATACTTTCCCGTTTCGATGGTGATCGAGGTCGACGGAGCCCAATTTTCAAAAGGTTGTCAACGCATCTGTAACTCTCGGGTGTAGCAGATGTCCACGGACGGCGGTATTCACTTAACATCAGGTGAACCGTCTGCTCGTTTGGCATTTCACATAAAAAAAACCAGAGATAATCCACCGCGCGACCCACTGCGGATTAATGGACTTCTTACTTGGATCTCCACGAATCCGTGAATCTTTACAATCTTCACAAATCTTCACCTTCAACTACATAAATAATCTTTTAAAATCACAATAGTCGATGTATGTATTGTTCAATATTAAAAAAAATAACATTAAGAATAAATCATATTATATCGATTTCTTATATATGTTAATTCCTACAGTTACTTGACAAAAATTAATAAAAAAGTAATGGCCACAAAATTATTTGTATAAAACGTACAAGGAATCAAAAGAATTTTAATAGTAATATTCAAGAATAAAAGAAATGTCGCCCGATAAAGATCACTATAAAAAACCATATAAATGTTAAACAAACATATATAGTAGATTGTTTTTTGGTACTTTTAAATTCAGTGTGTCCTAGAGACTTTGAACTTAGGAGTAACTTCAATACTTCTACTTAAATTTAACCGTTATTAGTGCGAGTTAACGGTTAAAGCAGTTATGTTATATTTCGCCTATCTAAATAATGTTCACTTATTTTCACTTATTTTTCCTTCTCCTAAATTGTACTAATGACAAACTATCGTTGGACTCAAAATGGCCAATCACTACACAATATAAAACAAAGTCGTCCCGCTGTCTGTTTGTCCCTATGTATGCTTCTAGAACCTTTAAAACTACGCAACGGATCCTGATATGGTTTTTTTACTAGAGTGATCCAAGAGGAAGGTTAATGTGTATAATACATTGCAGACGTGCGAAGCCAGGGCGGGTCACTAGTTTCTCTATAAAGTGAAATAAGAACATGCTCCTTATCAGTTGGATAAAAAATGTCTTGTAATCTTTCAGACTGGCCTGATGATGAAAAAGATTCAGCTAATCAGTGCAAATTGTATATAAGCCAATTTTTATTCTGGCAAGGATCATGTCAGTAATCTAACTTAAAAATCACCACAAATTCAATGAGACCTAATTGTAGAGACTGAATAACATTTTTTTTTTTCTGACGAAAAACCAAACCGACTACAAATATCTCACTTTGTATTCATTTTATAATTGATTTCCAGGAGTTCCCTAAGCATCTCCGGAGCCCAATCCCATACCAATGAAATTACGGGACCACATGGGAAGCACCAGCTTTGAAATAAAAAAAGATCATCAAAATCTGTTCACTCAGTCGAAAGTTCTGAGGTAACAAACATAAAAAAAATACAGTCGAATTGAGAACCACCTTTTGAAGTCGGTTAAAAATAGGAGAATCTTTTTAAAATCAAATTAAATGAAATATGTTTATTCAACACCGGTTACACTCGCTTATTGATAGTCAAAATACTAACACCGGTTCGGAAAATAAAGCCACTGTACTGAAAAGAACCGGCGAAAGAAACTTAGAGGGCGTTTTTTTTTTTTTTTTTCAATGCTGTAAATAAACAGTTTGTCATGAATGTATTGAAAATACAATATAAGAACTGTTATTGAAAGAGGAAAGAGCTATTAAAGTAACTGACCTTCCTCAAGCGATCTCTTTACGTCTTCCACGGCGCCTTTCGGAACCCTGAGCTGGATCACGTGGTTATCCAAGAAGTCCAGGGCAGCGTCGAGCAACCTGGTCTCCACCTGGCTCTCCCTGGCCCTGGGTTCCTCGGCCAGGGGTTCGAAGGACCTGGCGGACCTTGAGGATCCGGTCCCGATGAGGCTGATGCCATCGGCAATGTTCACCTCCCGCGCCGCTGCCAAGTTCTCGGCGTACTTGAGCGCCCGCTCCTGTTACCAAAGGAAGTTATTATAGCCTTTTAAACTCAATTTTTATCTGTCACTGTAATTAAAAAAAAAAATTGAAGACTTCGTAATCTGTAAAAGGCGTTCGCAATTGATTATAAGTTAACATGGAAGTAACGCAAGAAAACGGATATTTTTATTAGCATACATTTTGCATAAGTTTAAGAATAGTTTTATTTTTTGGACTTCGAATATTTAACATTATATTTTGTTAATAAACATTGTTACAATATTCTTTTATTTGCGCACAGTTGATTTTAAGCTTCTGACGCTCAAAAAAAAGGTTGAAATCATTTTAATTAGTTCGACGACCTATTATTTTGAACTGTTTAAATGGGTAATCAATTACATTATTTTGACATTGACCACCATTTTGTAGGTCAAAGAACTTAAAGCTTCTGGTTTCGAGCAAATTGACAGCTTATTTAACTATCTTACACTTGGCACTGTCACACACACCTTAAGGCACAACGAGACATCTTCCTCTGCACAGTTCTTCACCACTCCGATGACGGAACCGATGACGTCATCCTCACCACCGGTGGGCTTTGAGGCGACCACACCCACGTACACTAGTACTAAATATATCGCCTTCATTGTTTCTATTTCCCCTCGGTGGTGATACGTGAAATGTAACGTCTGGAGAGCTTCAAAGCGGTTTTATTCCGCGTACCCCCACTGCCCGCCCATTCCCGCCAAATTGCGTACGCGCATAGAGTACTGAAGGGAGAGGTGCCATGAATGTAATAGATACGGTTGATTGTTATACTAACGTAAAATGTACGCTTAGGCTTGCAGTGTTGCTCTGTGCATGATACGGCGAGCAATGTTAGATGTGTCGGCCGATTCAGGATCGAAAAAAAAACAGAAAAAACTAAAATAGGTTTTGACCTCGTAGAATAGAACTCTACGTCTACGCACTTAGGATTAAAATTAAGTGCGTTTAAAACTAAACAAGTGCTTAATCCGCTGATGTTTCTAATTAAAGTGTAACGGTTGTGTTAGTACGGTTTTAAATCAACTTAATTGGGATTTCGTTTACGCATTTGCAAAAATAAGCCAACATCGTGAAATTTCTTGTGAAACTGTAGAAAGTTTTTGAATAAAATACTTATTATGATTTAACGTAAAGATTTCAAACCTCGACTTCACAAATATTTTTTTTAAATAAATATGCTAACAATAAAATTGATCTAAGATTTATATTGTAAATGTGTTCCTATTGTAATTACGTATATTAGTAATGTGTAATAAACCTCTTTATGTATTAAATATACAAGTAAGAATAACACTATCATTCACTTTTATCATTGGATTCTCCACTAAATTTTGTTTTATGTATATATCGGTAGTTCTGTCATACACATTTTGAGCGAAAATTCTTAAGTATATTTGTCCTTTTTAGGCACTAATTATTACCATAGTAATGATAATCATATTAAATATGTATGCTATTTTGAATGTTGTCGTGATAAACTAGAACAAATTCTTCTCCGTTCACATAATTACGGAATAACTTAAAACCTTGGGCTTTAATTTTTTGAGTTGCCCATAGACAACCTATTCATCTAGAATATGTCTCGAACTATACACATAAAAGTATCAGCCTATACATGTCCCACTGCTGGGCAAAGGCCTCCTCTGTACAGAGCGTAGTCCACCACGCGTATTTTTTTTAATAATATTTCGAAAATATGCAGGTTTCCTCACAATGTTTTCCTTCACCGCTGAGCACGTGATAATTCAGCACTTAAAATTAACAATTTCATTGGTGCTGGCACCGGGGATAGAGTATATTAAATTAAAGGCGAGCGTCCGGACACTGAGCTATCACGGCTTTATCATCACGGAACTATACACAAAATTTACTCCGTTTAAATAACTCTCAACCTTGAGAACGGCTAATGTAATGAAATGTTTCAATCACAACATAATTAACGATGAAATAAGTCATTAGAACCGGTTGCTTTGCTGTAACCTCTATGTTTTTTTTAATGAAACATTTTCATGTGAGCAGACGGTTCACCTGATGTTAAACGAATTTCTGCCCTTGGACATCTGCAACACATGCCCAAGTAGAAATCGAACCCCAGGTCTGCCATGGTAAAGCCCATAACTTGATTAGTGCAACACCAGAAACAAGTATTAATGCCATGGTACTTAGGTGTATCGCCACGCTTCTGCCAATTCCTGGACCTTAGATGCGATAAGAATTAATAATTTCTGAGGCCTCATCGGTACATTTGTCTGCGGCGTTGACATGCTTATCTTTATAAGCATCATTTATGATTTCATCGATTGCACGGTTTGTATTAAAATGGTCCTGTTAGTGTCTAAACAGTGAAAAATATAGAATAGAAACGGATTATTTACCAAACCATTTTAATGGTTCATAGTACGTTACTGTTTAACAAAATTCTAAAGTTACTTTAATGGATGTGTAAACAAAATTAATTATAATTTTATAAATCTTTCATATGTTGTAAATAAGTAAGTTTTCATTTTATTAAAACTAAGATATGAGTAAAAGCATATAGGTATCAAGTTTACGGTTATGTTTTCCTAAAAGTATCATGAACATAGTATATTAGTTTAGTTACATTGAAAAAAAGTCATATATAATACTTAACCTTATATTCGAAGAGTGAATTATAATCTGAAAATGTACGCATCTCAGCTGATAAACTACTTTTTCTATTGTCTAATGACTAAGTTAACGCGATTTAATTTAGCTACACCCTAGGAAACTATCGGTCCAAAAGGCTTTTAACATTATAGTTATAATAATGATATGTTTTGTGTTGTAGTTAAAAGTGTGGCAAGGTTCCGCAATAGCGGCCATAGTTGTACGAAAAACGGGGCTCATCCGGGACAACACAGCCTCAATGAAGACAAGTGTGAAGTCAAACTATTACGCTTATGCGTTCCATCTGATTAGTGAGATAATCGCGAACCGCGAAATGCTGTCTGTTCCACTTTTCGATATCATATACTGTCTTAATGTGTTAGAAGATTTGTACGTTACCATTAATGTGAACAAGTTGTTTAACAATATCAAATTTCAAGCTTTTCTTGAGCAACGTACAAATAACGCTTTTTATTAACATGCTAAATCATCATAGCGGAACCAGCGGCGTGGTTAATTGTTTATTTTCTAAGCTGACGTAACATGACAGCACATAATATTCACTTCAACTTGTTTTATGGAAACTCGCTGAATTTCTACTTAGAAAACCACATTAAAGTTAGTGTACAATAATAACGTACGTTTATGTGTGATGACGTATTGCTGAAAGCGTAAGTCAGTTTAAACAACACCATCTAATCTTATCTCTATTTCTTATGTTGACCGATCAAGTTTAAAAAAAATAAATCTGGTAGAAGAGCGTATGATTCTATGTTATTTTATTTGGTATATCGCATTTAAGCTAAAAAAAACTTTAAGAAGTGTGCACTACGGTTTTTCGTTTTTCGTAAGTTTTGTTCGTTTGAGACTTCATAAACTCATATTCTCTCTCATATTCTCTCTTGACATTAGGATGTATTTTTATTTTAATAACCTCGCGAAGTATCCTTGAAGACTCGATTTGCAAGGAGTTTTTTTATGTCCAATTATTAGAGTATATAATCTGTTCTTTCATGTTTTAATATCTAGAGTTTCAAGCCCAATCCATGGAGTAATTTACGATAGTCGTGTACCTGTAAAATTTGCAATATCTAATAAGATATAATATATATAATTTTTGACTGACATTGCATATATATAACCAAATCTTATCCTTTAAACGAGCAATTCTTGAATATATATATAATCGGAATCTCTCAAACGGCTCCATCGATTTTCATAAAATTTAGTATGTGCGTAGATTCGGGGGCGAAAAATCGATCTAGCTTAATTTTTAGAAAATGTCCTTTTATCTCTGTTTTGGGTTTCTCAGGGAATGTAAAATATCATTCGAATATGACAGTAAATTGCGACGCAAAAAAAAAATTATAATAGCTCGGTCGTTAATCGGGCGGCCCCAAAACAGACGGCCGCGGTTCGTTATATAACATACTTATTTTTTTTTACTTTTTTTTCCATACCAGATCATTTTCTTTATTTTTTATTTTTTTATTTCCAAAATACATGATTTATCAAAAAAAAAGTTCCAGCAGGTACTAAATTATTAAAAGCGAAACCAACTCAAATTAACTATGACACCAGACCACAAAATATGTCGATCTGTCCCGTTCCCATGAACTCTGTAAAGTATCCATATTCTAGTGGAAAAAAAAAATCATAGTAAAAATGTTAATTGTAATATAATTCATTAAATTATTAATTACATTAAATTAATTTCATTAAACGATATGTATAATTTAGGTTAACGTAAGAAATAATCACAGTTTTATAGCAGTCAAAATTTTCAGTTAAAATTGATATTTTCAAAATGAATTGAATTTAGAATAAATGAAAAAAAATAAATTAAAAAAAACATTTAATACCCTATAAAACAAAAATAATATGTTATTCGCTATTATAATATACTATAGAATTAAAATCTATAGTATATTTTAATAGCGAACACTATTATTTTGATCGATTTGAAAAATAAATATCTAGCTCTTAAATATTTATGTTAACCTCAGTCTCTGCTTATTACTCAGAATTGTTACTTTACAATCATTATCTGCCTGTGACTGTGCCAAGTGTTAGTCTTATAGTTATCCAAGTTACCATCATCTATACCACTTATGGGGATGTTATCGAAATTATCAAAAATGTACACACACATGTATAGTATATTCCTTTTATTTTAATCGATTACTAGAGCATTCAATCTACTTTCAACCAATACCTCACAAACTTATCGTACAATGACTTTTGCGTCAATTATTTCATGAGAGTAACACGAAGCGTGCATTACCATAAATTAGACTTTTAAAGTCGAAAATCGACCTTAATAACAAAGCAAAACAAAATCGCCTACGTGTTTGTACCCAACGGTGTTATATAAATCAATAGATTAAGGGTCGAGTAGAGCCCATGCTGATGCTCCTTATGTTATCATCACTATATTTTAATACCCCAGAAGCAATAACTATGAAGATATTATGTTTTACGCTACTGGAATTTGAACCCAGGGCCGTAGGCAGTGGGTCAACATTTCCAGTTATCACTTAATTCTTTTTTTGTTTACACTTCTAGCAAAATAAAGATCAAAGATCTAATACAATTAACAGTGAAGGAGGAGGGGGTTATTAGAAAACTCTTACACCATAAGTACCGCACGCGATTTTTTCTAAATCAAATTTGAATAGCTCGAAAAATTTGCCCGAATTGTACTTTCTTCGTAGTATGATCCACATGGTCGGCGTCACGCTAAATATCGTTCGTTTGATAAAATATAATTCGGCGGATGGCGATAAAACTTTCGTCCACATTTGATGAGTCGATGTGCGACAATTATTGAAAACGCCCAACGTATAAGCGAGCCATAACGCTATAAAATTAATTGAATCAAGCTGTGAGAAAACGCTAACGAATGTACCGGAAATAGCGGTTTCGTGTAACGCGAAGAGCTAGATCCGGTTCCGGTTCAGCATTTCTAATT